CAACAACTGCATAATGCCTTTTTTTACGACGATCTTTTTATCGAACATCTTTTTTTTCTGCGCACATTCATCATTCAGGTTCAAATGCCAGAGTATAAGTTGGTCTTGTGGATTCTAGTATTATTTCTAATATTACTTCATTCTGATATTATTTCGTGAATAAATCCGGAAAACGTGGAACGTCCACAGCCGCGGGCTAATTGCGTAGTGGCAAATTCGAGTCCGTAGCGAGCGAGATTCGCTTATATAATTACCGATGAAACGCGTCTTACGATTAAACGCATGCATATTCCCGCCCGGAATTGCGTATAATCGGCGGTATGAGTCACGTTCTTGATTTTTGTGCGTCTCGGGCGCTCGAAGGAACGGAGGAAATCTATTTCTGAAAAGCGTCAACACACCAATCGAATGTGCGCTTCACGCATGCTCCTCGTGGACAAACAGCTTCTTTGTCTTCAGCATCGCGCGTGAACCTTACTGCTGTCCACAGTCGCGACTTCAATGCCGATCCCTTCATCGTACGTGCAAAGAATTGATCGATTTGACGAATAATGGGTAGAGCAAAATTTCACGCAACTCCCGAGATTCGCTGTTGCAAACGCTTCTCCAATTCGCCATTTATAGAACTTCAACTTCGAATTTTTAATCGGATCATTTCCATTCGGCATCCTCATCTCCGGAACTTTACGCGAATTTTACGCATGTTTCATTACTTTGCGTTATCACAGTGCTCTGTAATTATCACGCAAGCGAGTCCGCTAAGTTCGTCGTCTACAGAAATAAAGCCTGCCACGCGCAATTCTTTATCGAAGGGTTTGCTTTATCATAGAAACATTTCGTAAAACTAGGTCAAGTAATATAAGCACTCTGACAGGCTATATCTACTTGACGATAATAGAAGATCTATGGAGGAACAACACAGAAGCATTATAATGTTTGCGAGGTGTCGTGAAAGATCGAATTCTAAGAAAGTCTGAAAGACCGGTATGGACAAGCGTAATTGGGAAAACGGTATCACTCGTCGTCATGATAATACCGAAGTGACACGGTGATCGTCAGTTATCGTCCCAATTGTCATCCGTAATATTTTTATCGGAAGCAATTAAGCAGTTAAATTGTCGTCACATGTCTGGGACGCCCGAGGAAATACGCGATATTATTATTATTATTTGCATGCACTCACGAAGTGTCTTTGTTATCTACGACAACAAGTGCGATGACGTAAGGCGAGACGATAAAAAAAATGTTTGGCTACACAGTTTGATCGGCGTGCAAGGTGTCTCAAAATGCGCGCTCGTGCATCACGTGGAGATTTTTAATCGATTTAAAATAAATCTGACCTCGACTCAGATATCAGAGCGGCAATAATCTCGTCATTATAATAGATTTAAAGTAAAGGATATTTGGCGATCGACGTCGAGGTTATTGATAAATAATAAAATCGCGTTCTTCTGTCGATTTCGAACGGGCTTTGTTTTAACAAAAATGCAAGTTAGACGCGTCACGGATATCATGAAATTTAACAGTACGTACGGCTCAATGATACAGACGAAGGTTTCTGAGTTTAAAAATTACCGTACGGTAGATAATTTTTAACGTCTATTTAAATTACAATAGTTTCCGTTATTCCTGCGATAAATCATTTAAGTCTTCGCCGAGAAAATCTGATGATGCGAGCTTAGGAAAATCAACTGGGAGATTATTATCGAGGAAACAAGAAATCCCAGTCTTACGAGTCTCATGATATGTGTTTATCCGTTCGATATCATCGCTTATTTGCAGATGGCTTACATAATCGCGAACGAGTCCTCTTGTAAAGAGGCATTCGCTACGTTTAAAGAACGTTATTCCTCTCCCGGGAAACAGAAATCACGCGCATAAATGTATGAATTTTACAAAAATCTGGTTCGAGAAAGAACTCGCCTCGAAACCGCCGAGTGCGTACGCGGTGCGTAGCAGCGTAGATTCGCGTTAAATCGCGAACGGGATCCTCGTATAGAGGAGAGAATGGGGATCAGCCTGTTCGAAACAGGAAGGAAGAAGAGAGATCGTTCGGCATTCCCCTCCATCGGCATTAATTTCACATCACGAGACCGTGATCACGCTTAAGTGTCTCAACTCAGAACGGTACATCTGATATCTGCGTACTGATGTCGCCCGACGTCTTAATTACATTTTCGATCGTTTGAACGAGCGATCGTCGAGCCGCATTTCGCGCTCTGATTGTTGTACGGCCTATGGAGAAACTCGAAAGCTGTTTTCACATTCCCACCGAGATTATCTCCGGATCTTGCGATCGTTATCGGATCGACTTATCGGCGATACCAATTAACGAGTGCTTCTATAAAACGACCGTTAATTTGCAGATTGTGCCTCATATCGCGCGAAATTTAAAACGCACGTGATAACGCGAACGGGTGCGTGCACGCCCCTCGGCTAGATTGGCTCGCGATAAATATATGTTGTATGTGTTTGATTTTTATTGGGGTTAAGCAGTTGATTAAACGGTTATTCGATCGTCTACCAAGGGACTTGTATAATGCGCCATACATTGTCTCTTTTATTTTGCGAACGCGTCGATTAACGTTTTTAACGGAGGACGCGAATCGCGCGTGCGAGATAAGTCGTTAATCATGGACATCCTCGAAGATCGATAACTACTATAAATTACCTTGTGTCTGTGCATCTTCAATATTTTTTATCATCTATGTAAACTTAATCTTTTTTGACTTCTCTCTTTCGCTCTCTCTCTCTTCCCCTTTCTCTGTCTCTAAGCTTAGGAGCAAGATTCGTGGGCGGAAATATAGTGAATATAGATCGAATTATTCAATGTTTTCGCGACAAAATGACGTCAATAGTTCTGACTACCGTCTTACAACTATAACACTGGTCGCATAATTGCGTTGTAATCGCGCTGTAACCTCGATTTGTGGCTATTTCAGTAACGCACTGAACCATGCATTTCCGGAGTCTCGGGCGAGACATTGTATCGCATTGTGTAAAGTGGCGAGTGGTTCACGGAGCAGTCGGCTTAAAAATTTGCATGATAAGTACGATGTCAACATCCTTGCAAATCAGGCCCGTCGTGGTCAATGCGTCGGAAACAGCATATCGCGCGTTGCTGAAATACATATTTCCAGCACACATATATGTTGCTTTGGTTGCACTTGCTATCCTTGACAGCGGGGAAAATAAATGTTATCTGCTGGTAGCTACGCAACGCACGAAATTAAAAGTAACGTCGATAAGCCGCGAATCAACAAACAAATTATTATGCCCGGATAGAAACCAGATAGTCTAATTAAAAACTCACAAGCAATAAGCAAAATATCTTTGTTTTTTAGCTTTATCTTTGCAAGCAACGCGAGAAACAACTATCGTGCTTCATGTTTCCAACTTAGACAATTTAATTCTGCGAATGAGTGAAAGCATACGAATCATCTCTTGGCAGTGATGCCTACTTGAGAGTGATCCTGGAATATAATAAAAACGTGTCAGATGGGACTTTTCACGCAAATTATGAAATTTCAAAAGAAAAATAACTTAATTGATAGCTGAGCTATGATAAGGCTAATCATTGAGATATATCAAGACATCAACCTCTAAGATTGATAATTGAAAAAAGCACGAACAAACAGGACGATTCATTTTTTCTTCTATATATATTTTCATTTGAAAACATTTAGATCAGGGTTCGATTAAAACATGTTTAGATTATTAATATTCTTATTTTATTTGACTTTAGTTGAATGTGTATGCCTGACTAATATTGTGGCCGAACATTTTAATAGAAAATGCCGATAATCCCAGGACCATCTGAGAGTTGCTGCCGTTAAAAAATCTCTCGATGTAAGTCTTATGATTCCATTATTACCACCGCAATGGACTTATCACGTGATTTTATTATCGACGCTATATATTTCCGCAGGAGACGCTTAATTAGCGTCAACGGTCGTGTTTTCTTACTGTAATAAAAGAACGACGGCAACGTATCGCGACGTGTATAATAAGTGAAAACTAATCGGGGCTACCATATAAAGCAAACCGTAAGGAAAAAAAATAAAAATTTCTAATGACCATTTTTAACGATACTGCCGCTGTTCCTCAGATATCGACAACAATGATAAAGTTTTTAATGTTAATCGTTGTTATTCACGCACTATAAACAATCATTTTGACGCAAATGGTACATAACGGAGTGGTGTGCCTATAAATCATATATTTGTCAAGTAGATAAGGCACGTTGTCAGACGACTAATGAGTTTATAAATGAAGGGTTACCGCCCGCTAATAGGCCGTTATATCTCATACAATAAACATATGTGTAAATCACACCCTCTTTTGCACGTTGTAAATATTCAGCAGAGTTGAATTCGCCAAACGAAACTGTTTGTCAGTGGCTTCAGAATGGTCTTCAGATTTGTGTTTCCTGTGCAAAAATTTTTATTAATCATCCGTACGCTTTACCGTACTTGACGCGTCTCAGTAAGCAGAAACACCTGTCAAATCGCGAAGCACAATTTAATCAAAAATCCATCTTCTATAATACACCTTGATTATTGATAAGATGCAAGTTAATGTCGACAATTACCGAATTTGTAAGATTACTCTTAGACAATTAATACAAACACGTAATAAAATAAACGGTAAGTTACGATACACGGGATGTCTCGCAAATGAGAAATATATTGTGGAAAAAATCGATTTTTCGCGAAGGAGAAATTGTGTCTCAAAAGTGACGTCATTGTTACCTCACGTAAAAATGAAAAAAAAAAACACCAGTCTCGCCGTCATCACATGCAGAAACAAAGAAGGAGCTCCTTCGCGTTCTGCACACGCGACCACCACAATTCGCAGCCGAGCTAGCGTACTTTAGAACAGAGAGAAAAACAAGCGTTGCACGTGGTCTGCGAGTGCTCCGCGTGCCTTCCTCTTCCTACCCCTCGTTCACTTTCCCTACTACCTTGCCAAAGTGCGCCGGCCTGTCACGGTATAAAAACGAACGCGCGCCGACGCGACGAGCTAGTGCGTCTCGCGCGATCCGTGAGAGGTGGATCAGCGAATTGTGTCTCTCATATTTTCTCCAAAAACTTCGCTGCAATTTCTCTCCGCGAAGCTGTAGAATTCGCGCTGAGAACAATATTGCGAGCAATTATAGCGTTCTGATTTTTTCATCGTCAGCGGCAGCACTCAATAGTACGCGGGAGTGTGAGACTTGTTTTGACTCTTGAGTGAAGAAAAGTGATTTTGAAAAATATATCCATTCTAATTTTGAACTGATTATGCCGGTGGAGTTGGAACCCATGGCGCCTATAGCTCCTACGTCCTACAATGGGTAGGCGATTTTAATATTTACAAGTTTGTTTTCAATAATTAACTTTTCGCGCTTCGTTCCGTAAGAGGATAGCGCGAGCGATTTCGATATTTATTGGAAGAAGTGGGGAATTTGTTGTAAAAATTTAATATACCTTTTAATTTGTGAAAAACGCTCACGTTCGATTTATTATTTAAAAATGCCACGTTCAATCGAGGCTTTAAATTTATTTGAGAGAATTTATTTGAAAATTCGCTTTCTTCGTACTTTTAATGAAAACACCGCTGATTCTGCGGTTGTCACACCTTCCTTTCTTCGCAACGCTTATGTCCTATCCGCGTGGGTCTTGAATGACCCGATAAAGAGAGAGGAAGACAGAGATTGAAACAGCTGATCCGCGCAACTGACAGGTTTCTCTGAGCCAAGCAGGCTGACGCTAATGTCACTTCCGCCGATTTTAGCGTTGGCATTAAAACCACGTCTTGCGCGACTCCAGTAAAGGGAGAATGCGTCACCGTTGATTAATCGAATGTTAATTACAGCATCCTCCCACTGACAGCGATCATTTATAGCGTAGTTTTCCTGTACACCGCTGCGCGAAAAGAGCCACTTTCTAAATTTTCTTGTTAATCTATCTGGAGTTAAATATAGAATACACGTAGATATCTCTCTCCCTCTCTCTCTCTCTTTCCGTTATACCGATATATATACGTTATACTGACACTACGCGTGAAACTACATTCAATGTGATTACACATGATCCATGTTATCATAATACAATGTTGACTCAAGATGTTGACTTGAATTTAAGATAGATTCTCCCAGGATTATCAAAGGAAATAAACCAAGTAGTCAGTTCACCGCATATGTTGAGAAAATTAACTATGAGAAACTTAACTATACAACTGTCACTAATTTTGTGCGAATGATCCCGATTTATTACGCTCGTACGCAGAGAAAAAGATTTCTTTTAATTTATTATAGTTTGTTTGACTTGGATTTATTTGTAAGCAACATAATTTAATATAGAATATTATTTTGTTTGAATGAAAATATTGTCTCACTAGAGTAAATTATATATTGTTTGATAAAAAAAACAATAATATTTGGTTATCAATAAAAAAAATTTATCTCATTATATAAATACATATATTGTTCCATTGAAACATAAAAAGAAATACTTTAATATTTTTCTAACATATTTTTTTTACATAGTGTTACTTCTTTCAAATAATTTACCGCTTGTGACAACCATTGTAATATGTTTATATGATGAAAATACAAAAGAAATATGACTTTATTCGACGTAAAGATATTGTTCGAGAAAACCAAAACAATTCCGTTTGTTGAATTACATATACATTTACTTGCTCCGTTCCAAGATACAAATTTGTTTCAATTAAAGAAATTTCATGAAATCCAAAGAAATCTTTTCATCCGTATACAAATTACTGTCCGACCAACGTCTCTAAGACGTCGATTACGGATTGCAGGGAGAAGAAGATGAACAAGCTGTGCCGGCAGCTCTCGATCGAGAGCCCCAGCGTAACCGGAAGTCGGGAGTGCGTGTTCAGTTTCGATGTGCCCGTTCCGGACGTGCCGGCGCACGGTGCCCGCATCAGGGTGATGTGCGCCGGGGCATGTTACCACCCTCGACGTTCATCGAGTTTGAACAGTCTGACGTCGGTGTCGAGCGGCAGCAGTCTGGTCACTGAGGTGTCCATGGAGAGCGACTATCCAGTGTCACTGCCGCATCATGGGGTGCGCGATGCCGCCCTGTTCCCCGGCTACGAGGTCGCCGGTGTGATCGAGTCGTTCGGCACTGAAGTGGCCGAGGACTGCGAGCTCGCAGTGGGCGATCGTGTGATCCTCTACCCGTACGATGGTATCCCTAACGGCTACGTCGAGTACCTGGTGGTGCACGATCTCAAATACCTGATCAAGATACCGGACAGCATGTCGCTCAGCGTAGCGGCTATGCTACCGGCAGGCGCGCTTCTAGCGATGAACACCGTCTTCGCCGCGCACGAGCACGTGCAGGTATAATTTAATTGCGATTACCTTCGCAAATCGGATTGAAATCGTGATCGGTGGCCTATTGTTGAGTATCTAAGCGATCGGAATAAAACGTCGACGCTGTGAAATAGGTCCAGGTGAAGCGATTAAGCGGTGAAATGTTGCAGGCGTTGCTGAAGGAGAGAGGTGAGAAAAGCGTATGCAAGATCCTGATAGTTGGCACAGGCGGCCTCGCTTTGTGGGCGCTCAGGATCGCGTCGTATCATTTCAGCAACATGAGGGATAGGGTCACCACTACGGTAGCCAGTCTTAAGGACGACGGTCTTCAAATAGCCCAGGAGTTCCAACGGTAAGCTTCATGATCGGTTTCATTAAATCGTTACGTGGCAAGGTAGAACGATTATTAGTTCGGTTGATTATCTCGGCCAATTAATCGGCATGATTATGAGAAATTGTAATCAATCGATTGGGCTTGCGAGAAATGCGAATTCTCACGTTGACAATCTTATCTGTTATTAATCGAATGATTTATATATCAAGAAAAAAAATCAAACATCGCGACTTTGCTGGAAGCCGTCCATTTATTTTTGCCAACATGAATACGTTTTTTTCCTCACTATTGGCTCTTCTCCGCACATAAAGAAAACTGTATGACTGTTATTCGTATATATGTATGTTATTCAGACGCAGTGCAAGTTTCATTGAATTCTTATCAAACTCATTTCACCTTACAACTTTCTTTAAAGCGGAATGACTTTTGATCCGGGTTCTGAATTACTGTCAAACGTTTGCTGTCACTTTTTAAATGTAATGTAGATCAATTTGTAATGTTTCCATAATTTTTTCATTATTTCGATGGGCAATTATTTATGGGCAATGTATCTTTAAAATCCGACTGAATACTTACCTTGAGAGAATTTAAGACTCTCAGAGAAAAGTGTTCCCAAGTCTAAGGCTCATGTCTTAAGAACCTGTTCGTGCGCTTGTCACTTCATCCGATTTATCCAGCAACAGTCGGCACGTCGGTTACAGGGTGAACGTGGTGCAGTGGAGCGAAGACCTGTACGAGAAGCAGCTGATCGAGCGCACGATGGACGCCTGCCAGGGCCAGGTAGACGTGGTGATCGACTTCGGCACGACCTCGCGCAACCTCCACCGCAGCATGCAGTGCCTCAGCAAGGGCGGCGTGGTGTTCGTGATCAAGGAGGTGGCCGACCGTCTGCTGCCAAAGTTCAGCCGACGAGCGGAAGAGAGGCAGCAGTCCATCAAGCCGGTCGAGCCGGGCACCCTCGAGCAGCTGCGTGAGCTCGTGCAGCTGGTCGGCTCTGGCGAGATCGAGCCGCCCCCCCACACCGTCTACCCGGCCGAGGAAGCGCTCGACGTCGTGCACAAACTCTGCCACTCGGAGATCCAGGGTCGCGCGATCCTTCGCTTTTACCCCGCGGATTAAAGATCCCACCGCTAAGATTGCTTTCGTGGATCGGCGGACGAGAGGCAGATTCGACGACGACGATGATGACGACGACATTGATGACGACGCCACGATCACCGGGAAAAGTAGTCGACGAGACGGCGATCCGGTTATTGCGAATTGTACGGTTATCATGATCAACGTGTGCGTTTCCGGAGTCTCGAGATGAAATGTAGCAACTCCGTCGGAGTTGAGCTATCGCGGGCGATAAGTAGCTGTTTCCTACCGATAGCTGGAGCTTAAACTAGACGTGGTGAGATGACGACGTACCGCGCGGCACGACAGCTCGCGGGTACGGAAGGAGGAGGAGGAATAGTTAGCGGGAGGACTTTTCGCAGGATGACATTCGCTCGTTTCGACACAACGTCGTTCCCTATCACTTGAAATCGCATGAAATGACGACAATCCTGAAGAACGTCTCGTCCTTGAAGGAAAGTCGCGTACTGACAGCAGTCTTTCCGGGAAATCTTTTTTTTTTTCTTGAAGCCGCGCCGAATTTGTGAACACAGAACGAAATAGGAAGGTTTTCTCGCTTATCGCCTTGCAATTTTTGTTTGGAGTAACGATCAGACCTTGTAAATGCGCGGGAGTAATCACACGTATATGGAACGTGCGTCACGAGAGAGCGAAAGAAGGAGAGAAAGAAAGAGAAATGAAAGAGATGCTCTTAGATAACTGTAACGAGAAAATAACATTATTGCCAATGACACCTCTCTTTATCTTCCATGAACGGATGTGTAATAATTGCTTAACGCGGAACAAAGTCGAGAATAAGCGACGATTTACAGCGTGTGGACGTGAATGGATAAAACTCTGTTGATGTAAGCGAGGAGTATGTACAGTACTCTGTTTTCGTGTTATGTTCTCTCGAACGAAAACCACTGAACGGAGGGAACACATTTGCGCAAAGCAATACGGTTATTGCTCGACCTTTCGATGTCCCTTCGACTTACGCGCGAAGCTTCGGCGCTGAAATTGAATGACGCGCATGCGATGTTAAGTTCGACTCTTCGGCCGGTGCAGTATGACCTCCGCAAATCACGGAATAATGGCAACGGCGAATAGTCGTATTAACTGTGACGTTTCAGTGGTTAGAGTAATATAGCCAATACGAGTATTTGAAGTCGTCGCGGTACTTAGGAACGATAGGAGGGACAGGTTCGAAACGACTTCCAATAATCGTGTGCGTTGGCTGTACTATTTTAATATGTTGTAATTAACGACTATTTAAAATTGCCGCTACCCAGCTAAGCAGCAACGGCACGAGAAGGAGTTAAAAAAGGATATTTTTGCTTAAAACGGATAAACGAACGTTGAGATTTTGAGATTTTTCTAACAAAAAACGTCCCATTGGCATCGCTAAGGGGATGATTAACGATTTTATCTCTCGTCGCGCATTTGAGAATTGCGAGTGTGAAGACTCGAATCTACCCGGATAATCACAAATCTTGTACAACAAATATGTGCTGTGTGTGTAACATGTAACTATATCGCGTCTTGTCGAACCCCTCGGTGGGAGGCTCGGTAAATTCCGAACACGCGGCGAGAATATACAGACGTTTCTCACGTAAAACCGACACAGACGGAGAATTTTAGGATGAAAGAATGGCTCACGCCGAGAAACACAATGAGAATGTGAGCCAGCGACCTCGTTGAACGCGCATCATTCATCCAATTAAACGGTATTTCCTCGCCGTATTAACGGTATTCGCCGCCACTCATCTCAATTATCGGGGGACGTCGCTCCCAACAATCGCAGTAACCCGACGATGTGTCTTGCAGTCATTCGAGATACGTGGAATCACGTCGACTATCCTTGTCGCGAGCGACGTTTTACGACGGTAATCAGACACCAGTTGAGTGTTGCTGACGAAACGCTGCAATTTACTGGAGCCCGAGCAAGTCCGATATTTCTCAGTACACTTTTAATTCATACGCGCAGCGGACACCGCAACGTCAGATCAAACGTGTATCCAGTGTCAATTCGGAAGTAAAATCGAATGCCTGCGAGCCTAGAATAAGTTTTCCGTTTAAGGTAAGGATGTCGAGCCATAGTGAATATCCGATTTGTATCGTAAGACGTGAGATATCGTTGCTCAGTAGTAAAGGTGTGATCACCCGTGTAAATTAAAATTAATTTACATTAATCGACCTGGCGCTGAAACGCGGTAGGCGACGTCGTCCACCAAACTGAGGACGCAACCGGTAAGATGCAAAGGAACTTATCTGCAAGATGCATGGTTTTGCAATTTTTGAAAATGAGATATGGTCACTGTGCCTTTGTAAGTGGTTCTTCTTTGGTTTTGACGTCTGGTAAACACGATCGAGGTGAAACTCTTTGTAATGTATCTCCCAGTCGGTGGGCACATTTCCTCGCGCAGAAGCGCTGAGAAAGCAACGTTTCTTCGCGGATCCTCCAGGACAACCGAGTCTTCAATCGAATGCAAGCGTGGACCAGTTTTTCGTTTGAATATTCCGTCAGTCGTTCCAGATTCAGATATAATCGTCTAATCGCGTGCAATGATACGTCACCTTACGGTATCGCACGGATATTCGCGTGAAACGTATGTAGGATTCCACCCGATATTGCGGGGGGTTGTATTTAAATCGTAGATGCATCGTAGCCCAGGATCGCGATTCTAATTTACTCGAATCGCGTTTTCGAGGTCGGAAGAAACAGGCGATCAGCGATCTTAGACATTAATCGGACACGTGGATATCCGACGGCGCTTAATCATTAACCGGCATGATAGGAGCATAACGCGCAATAAAATTAATTTGATTGAGCGTATATACTCGCGTCCGAGAGGCATCTCTCGTCGATTGTCGTTATATCCCTTAGATCAGTATTCACATTTTCGTTTAACGTAAGTTTAGCGTAAGTTTCTTCGTGTAAGCACACGGCGAGTCGCTGTGTATTTCGAAAGACTGTTTTGTTTATTTAAGCGATATATACCTTCTTATTTTGTATCGTACGTTTAGGCGCTTAGCGCACGCCGTCATTGTACTTATTACTGTTGATTGTAACGATAAACGCATTATATACGGTGATAATATAGCCGAGACGTTCTTTTTTTCTTTTGTAATAACGTGTGTTTCATTTCTCTCGAGCAGTTTTCCTGTAGCGGTAAATATATATCTCAATTTATATCGAATGTTTCGGTATTCTTCTGATATTATATTTACAAATTAAATAATTAATGACTACGAATGTCGGTGATTCAAAAGAGACGGTAATCGACATATCGTGTTCCTTATTAATAATCGCAATGTTTCATTCATTAGGATGCTACTAATCTTAGCAACTCACTTTGGGATAATGTGGAACATGATAAGAGGCATGAAAGGTTCAAAGATGACTTTGCGAGCTGATTCAAGTTTTATTGATCCCGTAACAGACTCGTGGCATCAAAATGGTGTGATATGAATATTTTTTCTTAAATATTAAATATACTAAATGAGGGAGTTCTCAAAGATCATTGGTGGAAATATTTAAATGGTTCCTTATGAAACCAAAAGAACACTCGTGTCAAATCGGACAAGTGATTGACTGATTGAAGTTCTGTATATAATACTTTTATTAATATCTTCACGGAGTGAATATTCATAATTTTTAAATAGCATATAATTTATCGGAGATTGTAATACTATGTACAAATATATATTCGAAATTATAACAGCAAATTTGATAAAAAGATTAGCATAATTGTGTAAAGGGAGGTAGGAGGTGAAGTGTATGCGAGTAGAAAAATCGATCGTTAATGTATATATACGTTTGATAGGTACGCCGCATACATCACTCTTTGTGACAAAAATGTTCCATCAGAACTTTATCTTGTTAGGCAAGAATATGCGTTATTGTTGTTATTGCGTTATCGCTGTGCTATAATATCGATTACTGACTTCGTACAGTTGAAAATAACGACAATCACAGAGGAAACAGTTTGCACCGGTAAAACACTATGTACATTTATACACACAAGTAACAATTGGGTAACATAAATATGTATGTGTAAAAACTTTAAAAAGTATATAAAATATCAAGTATGTACAAATCTAAGTACTAAAAAGGGAATTAAGAAAGCTATCTTCAAATACTAGCATTGATACTTCATTATAACCTTGTAAAAGTTTCAGTTTAATAATCTTAAATAGATAAAAACACCAGATGAATTTGACCGGAGAAATCTGCGCGCGATTCCTCAATGATACAAGCGCTCTACTAATAAATGATCTTCAAATGGGCTTGCAATACTATATATAAATGTAAACGCGTGCGCCTCGGCCTAATTTCATCGTTATGACTTCGGTTTAACTTTAGAATGTAAGTAATTCCGTGGAACATACCCCTGCTTACCGTCACGATTCTCTACGAGCCACCATTCGTCGTTTCCTTTCTCGTCGTGCGGTCTAAGCAGTCTCAGAGCTTGGCCATTCATAATGGACAACGTGCCCGGTATATTCGCAGCGAAATCGTACATCGCGTAGTAAAACTGAAAAGTCAAACGAAGCGCATTAATAGAAAATATTATTCAGAGCGGAGGACGCGAAATATGAAGATACTAACCTCGCTGTTTATATTCTGATACACTTGAACCCTCGGTGTTTCTGGGATGTTACTGTAAGTGCGACTCACTCTCGGTTCTTTATTCATATCTAACGAAAGCAAATCCTGCAGATGCGACTGAGACGCCTTCCTGACCTCCTTCTCCGGAGAATCCAACGACATCAGATTCGGAGGGCTCTTCCTAGTCGCAGCGACGTTCGTCGCCGCAGCGGAATCGCGAGGTGGACTCTGCTGGGCCGGTTTCAGTTTCTGCGACGGCAGAAATCCTTGAGTGATCCCGGTGTCGACGTACCATTTCGCGGGGTCTCCCATCGGATCCTGCTTCTTTATGGCGGCGACCAAAGTGCCCCTCGCAGCGCCCACGTCTAACGCGGACGTACTGGCAACGTCCTCGACCACTATGTACAACTTATCGGCAGCGTATTTTTCTCTGAGCCGGATCCTCTGCTTCTCGGACTGCATGCAAAGTTGAGCCTGGCCTTCCTCGTCCACTCGAGGATTCGTACCGGCAAATGCGAAACGTGTTATTTGATTCCATACCAAGTTATGATTCACGAGGAACGATTCCAGCACGTCTTGCGTCGACAAGTGCGGCGACGCCTGCAAAGAACGGAGAATTCTTCTTCGTTATTTATGAACATTGTCGTGACGAAAGATACGTCCGTGAACTTTGTCGGTTTACCTCGCAGAGAGTCAGATATTGCTTGGTAATCCTCCCGCTTAGCAACTTCCGAGCTCCAGCGAAGGCACTTATGCAACTAACTAGAATGTTTGCCGCCGAGTCCAACAATATAGGCAATTCCTCCAGCAATTGCTGATTCAGCGCCTCGTAATTACTCTTGGCGGTAAATAATTCCTCTTGTACCTGAAGCGAATAAAGCGAATCGTTAATGAAGAGGGGAAACGTCGGAGGGAACTGCACGCTAATCGATCGTGACGGTGTAACAATTACAATTTTTGATTCTTTATATTTCTCACTCTTAGAAATAGCAGCGTCGTAATCCAACAACTTATCGTGCCTCTTCGATATCAGAACCGCCGGTCCTTCTAACAAAGTCGCTAGCAAATGCAGCGGCGCGTTGACTCTCTTCTCGATGCATGATTTAAAATCTGGCATGTACTGCGACCAAATGGTGGACCTTATCTCTTGAAATCTTTTCACGTCGGAAGTGGTTCCTTGATAATAGTGACCTAAAAATTCGGCTATCACGTCACCAGACATAGCCTCCTCGTTCAAATGCACCGTGCATTGTTCGACGTCTTTCGCCAACTGCCACGTGCACTTCTCAATAGATCTAAATTGCTTTTCTAGCTCCTCGAACTGAACGTCGCACGCCACATTCGTCAGTCCCAGGCTCGCTGATAATCTCGTGCTCAGTCTTGTAGACATCTTCGCTACAGAATGCATGCTTAATTTCGACATTTTGCCGATTAGCGTGTTATCATTGTCCAAATATTTGGATACGATATCTTTCCTACGTTTGTACTCGTTAATGTAGCTAGCCACGTTCGTCATGGCCTTCCACGCATCTTCTGTAGTTGCTTTATCGAGATGATTGTCCTCCGTGCACTGTTATAAATAGCAACCCGTTATAAACCATCAGTTACGTAGCTAACATAATCGCTTACCTTTATTAATTCGTATAATATGAGAGGATATTTCAAGATTCTTTGAACCGGTTTTATCAGGATGGAGCTCATATCGAAGCAAGCGATCTGATGGCGCAATGCTTCAATACCCTTGTTAAATATCCTCATAATTTCCTCATTATTTTCATACTAAAATATATAATTAAATGTGAGATTCGATTATATGTAATTTTAAATTTTCTAAATAATGAAGATGTTTGGTCAACTGAAAACACCCGGATACCTTTTTCAGCAAAGTTAACGACGCTTCGTGGTTGCCGCAATACTTGACGTAAACAGTTTTCAGTTTCTCGGCCATTTTCACGAAACAAGGTCCGATCATCTGCAAGCTCTCATCGCGACCTTTCATCGCTCTCAAGATCATATCCAGTAATTCCTCGGCAATGTGAATAACTTCCAAGATATTGCCGAATAACGTGGAGACGTCGATCCCTTTCGACGTAAGAGAATTCGGATCGTACAAGTTAAATGTTTCGTACGTCAGCTTTAAATCGCGAACGTACTCTTTTTCCGTTATAACCAGTTCCGAGATCACGTTTTGTCGTTGGTCGGCACGCTTTTCTCTTATATCAATCGCACCGTCGGTCACGGATTCGTTTCTTTCACTTCCTCCCTGCACGGAAGGTTCTGCGTTCGCCGCAGCATCCTTCTGCAGCGGCACTCTGCCTGGAGCCGGAGCTGGCGGTGCTGGTCTGTGTGGTTGCGACATTCTCTTTGGCTTTTGTTCCTCACTCGTCGTAACATTCTCTTCTTTATGTCTAATCACCACGAAGTCCTCCAATCCCTCCGTTGATTCTGGCAGCTGGCTCGAAGAATGATCCAACGCCGAGCTTAGATATTCTCTCGGGCACAAGCCGACCAGGCCGCTTTTATTCTTCACATTCACCCAATCCTCGTTCGCCGTGTCCACTACGGTAACGACATCGCCCTCGTGAACGCTCAAATCACCGTCCATTTGTGCGTCGAAGGTGTACAATACTTTCACAGTAACGCCCGGCTCCAGGGCGTGCTTCTTCGCCGGAATCGCATCGACTTCGGGCTGAGCCTGAATATTCTCAGCTTCCACACAATCGACTATAATGTTGACATAAGACGATGGAAAGATGCCCTTAGTGGTGTCGATCATGCCCTCCATCCACTCGGAATCGATGTGTCTGGTGAGATGCACCACTTCACCCGCTCCGAAACTCAGCTCATTTGGAAACTGTGCGTTAAATGGATACAACGTAATGGCATACGGTTTAACGTCGACGGACTTGGGGTGAGTGTCACATTGTGTGTCTGCCGTGCTGCTGGTGGATGCCAAAGCTTCCGGGAATAAATCAAAGTAATTTGGAGCAGGTTCCTCAGGTATGGGTGGAGTCACGGAAGTGGCTTCACCGAGATTGCTGTAAACTGCGCTACTGTATGATGTGGGCCATGTTAAGTTATTTCTCGTTGTGCTCATTTCCACTTGACCGGTGCTATCTTCATCCACATCTGTGTAAGATATAAATCCTTCCGGAAATGTGCCTTCCTTTCCATTTTCTGTTATTCCACGACACCAGCCGTCATCCAAGATCTCTGTGACAGTGACCACTTCTCCTGCAATTAAGTCTAATTCTTCTTCAAGTTGTGCTTTCAGCGTTGTGTTTACCTTAGCTTTCCTTCTTATTGATTTTTTCCTTGATGTTTTCTACACCCACAGTAATATTTTTTTATTATTTCATCATCTTTATTAAGTATTTCCTTCTAATGACACTTTATAAATGTATATAGATAAGATGCAAGTGACTCAACCTTTATCAGTATTGTATCGAGTTCCCATGTATGCGTTGTAGGAAAAATTCCAGTATTGGAACTTGTTCTGCCCATGCACCATCCTGAGCCTATGTCTCTAGTTCCAATTATGAGGTCCCCTAATAAAATTCATAATTCAAATAATTATTTGAAAATTATGATTAATAATTAATATATAGAGATTGTTCTTTGACCATTTCACTATTTCAGAGCCAATACTTATTGATTCTTTCTCAGAAAATTCACGACTCGGTGTAAACAATTATGTAACGTGTCTAGTGATAAGCCTACCTTGTGCAAAGGACAAGTCTCCTGTTTCTTGCCCAGGAAAGCCAGCGATAGCTACAAACAGTCTTTCTGCTTGACTAAACTCTGGAATTTCCACTTTATGCAGATGACTTAAGGGGAACTTGCCAACCCTGTCTTGAGATTGACCCGAGCACCAATGTTTGTCCACTATCTCGTATATCTAAGACGAAAATGACGAGATTGTCACCGGATTGTTTACATTCAATAGGTTATGTATCAGACGTTCACGGCAGACAGCCCGTACCAGGAAGTAATGTCCTTTGGAGAGACTCAGCTCTCCGTCGACGGTCGTGAAGAAATCGTGCAATACCCTCGCCAACGTCCCCGGCTCCATCTCCACGAAGCAGCCGCAATCGCCGTTCTCGCGACACTGAGCTTGTCGGAAGCGGACTAGGCTGACAAATGATACTGCTCCGATAAAGTGGTTGTCACGTGGCATACGAGCTTACGTGTGGCAGTGTGCGAGCATCACTGAGCCTCGCACAATCAGTATTATCATCGTCGCAGTAAAAAATATCCCTGTGCCGCGACGAATGAATGAGATTATTGATTTTTTCGCACTCTCAATGCGTCCTAGCAAGCGTTATATGCGTGTGGCAGCGTTATATAATGTGTCAGGCTATTAATATCGTTTCACTCGAGTTACATACGTCAATATGTATCAAATATGTTAAGATATAAGATGGTTCGATGCTTATTAGAACGGATGGAGTTTAATTGATTCACACATTCATTAGATGATCACGTTAGAAAATTTCAACATATTTAAATATAATGGCCTATATTCTGAACTCACTTTTTATCGATAAATACTCCTAAAAGTAGTGTAGAAACTATCTGATTGACTAAAAAGCCGCATTTAAGGCATTTTTATCAATGCAAGTGAACTCAGAATATGGATCAATGCGTGGAAAATATACCTGGATGTTTCTTTGGAAATATTCATACATTTCTCACGAAATGCTACTTTTTATAAGCATATATTTTCCACACAAATTAAGATTTAAAGGGGTAATGCACAATAACATGTACTGTTCTAAAAAATTTAAGATAATCACGCAATCTTATAAATTTTTCAATAATATATCATGCGTGGAACCTTGTGCGCCTCGCCCAGTATCGCTTCGTATGTGTTGGATGCTCTTCACACCGTCGTTACAGAATCAGCTGATCAGTGAAATACCGCGCAATCGTTGTGCGTTTTACATAATTGAGTGAGAAATATATCTAATGTATATATATGTATGCGTTAAAGTTGTGCTAGTTGGTGATACATAAGATTGTATCGTGTGAGAAAAAGAATATCGTGTAGTTCTAACTTACATATTTACTTTGTTAGAGAAGAGGTTAGAGCGGCCAACATAACCTTACGCGGGTGAACTATTCCAGAGGATGACACGGTCAATGACAGTGTAATTTCGCATCGCCCGCAATTTGTTCATACGCATCTATCGTTAATTTTGTTTACGTAGTATCAAATGTTAGTATTAAATGTTAATCTGTCGAGAATAATAATCATGTCGAGTAATGAGACACATTCGTAGGAGAGGTTAGGTTCTCTGTATACAAAAGATAGAATGACGTTAATAGCGAATATTTTGTACGATTTGCCCAAGTAGTCACGATAAATTAAACACATTCAACTTAAATTCAACGATAATTCAACAAATTCAAGTCTACTTCTATTTAACAAGACTTGCAAGATGCATTGTGTACGTAGAATTCTAAATGTTACATATCAGAATTCACAAATATGCAATAAAGTGAACAATGTGAACAGAATATGTGAAAGACTAAGAGTATTGCGACAAAATACCGCTTATCGTTTTAATCACGATTCTAAGGAAGAGAGCGCAGAGAGCGAAGAGAAGCAGAATGAATACACAGAGCTTTCCAACCGTTACATAGGTACTGCAGCTGGGCACAGGATATTTGTTTTGCAACCTTACATAAAATGGGGCAGAGACAAGAAGAGAAACACTACACCGGAGCTACAAATGGCCGAAGCTGTGGCGCTCATAAATACTCTACCGTATTGGTGCGTAGTTGGATGCAAGTACGCACCGCTGCTCACTTTGGAGAAGAAAGCTTTGCTCGGTACCGGTGCGATAGATAACCTGAAGCGGGATATACACAAGTGTGATAACCCCTCGGCGATATTCATCAGTACTAATCAGTTGAAATTCGTCCAGATGGTTCAATTGGAAAAGATTTTCGGCTTACCGATATATGATCGTTACTCCATAGTTATTCATATATTCCGCCAGCATGCAAAGAGCCCAGAGGCGAAGGTGCAGGTAGCCCTAGCGGAAATACCGTACATCCGGAAAAAGATGTTGGAAACATCCATAGGCAGCAGTGGCAAGGCTAATATAACGGATAAGATAAAGCTGATGCTTAACAATAGGGAGAGGAAATTGAAGAATGACCTGAGCAAGTTACAACAGCATCGTCAACTTACCAGGAAAAGTCGTCAGAAGACTAATATGCCCACGGTCGCTGTGGTCGGCTACACGAACTCTGGTAAGACTTCCTTGATAAAGGCATTGACGGACGACCAATCCCTGCAGCCTGAAAACAAATTGTTCGCGACTCTTGATACGACCGCACATCGAGGTATGTTACTCAATAAATTGAAAGTAATCTACATGGATACTATCGGATTCATTCAAGACGTGCCGGAAACCCTGATCGAACCGTTCATAGTGACTCTGGAGGATGCCATAATCGCTGTACGTCGAGTATTATCATTACCGTCATTTTCTTTTTCCTTTCTTTCATGACGATGTCTGATCATTTACGGGTTCTCTTTCCCAGGATGTGATCATTCACATATACGACGTCAGTCACCCTGATATGACGGCGCAGTATGAGCATGTTCAAAATACGATAAAACCCATGATAGGCGAGAATCGTCTGGTGATCGACGTCGCCAATAAATGCGATCTAGTTGAGAGCGATTGCATACCCAAGGATGCGATCGCCGTCTCTGCTACGAAGTTAACAGGTGCGAGTAAAATATTCTATCAGCCGCTCACGTAAATCGAGCGGGCGAGATTGACGGTGTTAGTTTGAGTAGGATAAATATGATGTTTAAGATCGTGAATATTTGCAGGAATCGATCTGTTGCGTTTGGAGATAGAAAAGGTCGTGCTGGGCACTGTCGGATTATTACGCACACGTGTAAGGGTGGAGAATGGCAGTGTTGCAGCCAGCTGGCTGTACAAATGGACAACGGTTATGAATGCCATACCAGACCCAAATAATGCTCAATACTTAATTATGGACGTACTCGCTACTTCACGCGATATTCAACAGTTCAAGCAATTTTTAAGACAATAAAATTATTTATACCACAGTTTATGCGCAACGATCCCTTCCCAGATAGACATATTTTGGTGTATTGTCTGCATCGTGACTAACGTAGTAAGTACGTTAAGATGCATCTTCATACAAGAAGCATTTTGTTAGTATATAGGATAAAAGACAATAACCATTGCCATCTTGAATATTTCTTAAACTAAGTGAGATCATGTGATCGGATTATCATCTGACGCCGTCAAAATTACGACAATATTCTGATGCCGTAAATATTATTGCTTATTTTGTCCGAAAGAAAACGCAATTAATTTGGAATTATTATAGTAAGAAGTCAATACTTCGATTAAAATTATGACATAATAAATAAGTATTTCTTAAAACAACAATATTTTAAACGTGTGTTGCTGCAATGAAATCACAAAGCATATATTAAATGTGTGCATATTAAGCATTTCTGTTTATTTAGGTTGATATTTATTTAATCTTTAATAAGAAGCATTGAAGTTATATTTTATATAGTTTGCAACAATGGTAATAATCGCACGTAGATATTTTATTTTTTTTCCTTCGATTGGTATAATTTTTACTTTGTGATAAAAAGGGACAAATCACTCATAATCGTTACTATAAATTGGGGAACTGTATTATTGTAATTTATAGAAAACATTTCGCAACGTATATTGATAAGTTATCGCGAATATTTTTTGTCAGAGTAAATCACAGAGATTGTACTAAAAGATACTAAGAACGTAATTCCGGCGCAGCGTGCTGCCAAGAAGTCGTTGCTTTTTACGAGTCAGCCTGTACACGTGCTCAGCACGTGTTTTCGTACAGCCGCTTCTGAATGGTAGATACACGGGACACGACTCGAGATTTCGACTGAGACATTTCGTCACGGTTGTTAGCAAAATTAAAGGCTTTATTACACTTAGCTACGAGTACAGCGAGTTTACGAGGTTCGTTGTAAGGATGATGCTAAAGCTAAGCTTGTCATTTGTACTTCGCATCCACGTGCATGACCTTGGTGAAACCTAGCGAAATAGTGACTGCTTCTTGGCAAAAAAGGTGATAAAAAGTGAATTTTTTTGGGACTTGTCGAGAAACAGTGACAAAAGATGACTTAATGACAAAAAGTGATTGAATGATAGCGTTGGATTCGAGGAACATATAACGCTATTCCAATATCCGCCACGCCAGTCGCAAATATACGAAGCGAAGAATGTCGAGCCGCATGCACACCGAGCGACAGATACGAAAGAGAGCCAAAGCTCTCGAAAGCGCGCGGCCTAAAATTTGGTGAACGATTCTAGATCGCCGCTCGACGAGAGAAAGAGGTGGCCGTCGGGATGTTTAGTTATCGCGATCGTTTTATTAAGAGTTCCGTTTGTTTGCCTTATCTTTCTCCGCACGCGCGTATGACAGCGGCCATCCACCGCGAGGAACTTGGCAGCGAGGGTGCCGCTGTAGCGCGATGTATAATTCATCGAGCTCGATGGCTCTTTGTGTGTATATAAAGGCTGTCCCCGGAAACTCCATATAATGACAGTAAAGCGAAATGTGCCCCAACGGTGTGTGTATATCTTCCAGAATTGCTTTTCTTTATTCAAGCATGGAATTTGAATTATCCACTGTAACTTCGTGTCCTTTCTAGCCCTCTCCTCTTTATCGTCGAAATCGAGGTCATATGTGTATCGGCATCTTAAATGTGTGTAGACGTCTTTTTATTTATACAATAGAGCCGAGGGCGTTACGCCGGGGAGGCAACTGACGGATCGTCGGGCTGATAGCAAGTCGGAATAATTTACACAGTAAACAATTTTATGTTAAATTTAACACATTTCACATGTCCCAAACGGCCCATCCGAATTTCTGTGTTGACTTAATACAAGATGAATATGTTAAGAAGTAGCGTATAATCACGACAACTGAGGAAAAATAACTGTAAAACTACTAAAACTAATCTTTATGTTAAACATATACTTACATATAAATTATGCTATTTCAACATACAATACAGAACGCTGAATATCAATTTAATACGAAATCTTCAAATACCACAATCAAATTAGAAGCCATTCAATACTCATTTGAGTATTTTTTATCTCCCTCCTCCCCCTATTGGACCAATGTTACGTGACATGAGGGAACCCCCATCCTCCTATCTTCACATTATGTTATTAGATTTCTTTAAGTCTAATACGAAAATAAACACCGTGTACCGAGGGTTTAATGTGACATCCCGTGGTCTTTACCCCCTTCTTCTGCCATGACAGCTGCCACGCAAAATAATAGTCTCTCTCCTCTCCTCATGGTGTGACGTAATTGTGGAATGACCCTTTATGTTATATACTCAACACACGGCTATGTTGAGTATTCAATAAAAAAAACTTTTAACAAGGGCCAATTTTAACACGAAAACAAACTTGTTTTTACTGTGTACGGAATAGCAATAATCCAGTAAACACTAACAATAACATCATATCAATGGTATAATTTCCCATTCAATAATATAAATACAATATAAAATGCGTTATACATAACAGTTACATTGTTGAACGAGAAATGACACCATTGCCGTAATGTCACTGTTGTCTTAGTCAGTGTTTACTGGGAATCGATATCTCTCTGTTCAACGATTCGGTCTGCGAATATTCAAAAATGTCATCTGCCGGAGATCGCGCCGTGGGGCGACGCACAATCGTCGTAAAATCTAACTTAACGAGCTCGAGGTGAATGCGAATCAGGTGACTGTCAATGAGTCTCGACGGCCACGTGGTTCTTTTGACCATAAAACTGCACGGCGTGCACTAACGCGAACGGCGCGTCATTAATATCAGGCGATGGCAGGACATCCTCTGTGAAGCCTTATAGAGCACCCCGCAGGATTAATCGCGTCCGTACGCGGACGCGGAGGTGCCCCAGGACGACGCGTCGTCCTTTGGCCGTGGAATTAATGAAGGATTGATATCGCGATTATGTTGTAGCAATAGAGAGAAGAGAGGAGACGAAGGTCCAGCGCGGCATCGTGGACCGATCGGCAGCAGCCACGGGCCGCTTCCGGGCGATAATTAATTGCAGGCGTGACGGCGCTTTAACGTCGTTAATTTTCATTATCTCGATCGGAATCCGCTTGTAACCGAGCGCGCGCCGCTTTGCAGCCCGCTAATTTCGCACGCGTTCACTCGCTCGCTCGCACGTTCGCCTCATAGCCGCTTCCGCGAAACGCATTAATAATTCCCCCGGTAACGGGGAAGGAGGGTAGTACACCGAAGGATACCTTGCAAAATTTGTCACCCGCCCGCGCGACGGTGACGCTAATGTCGCGCGCGGCTCCTGCGCAGGGATCGCGCAAGGACGACGTGCACGGTGTGCACTTTGCGCGTCGTTTGGATTATTAAAGCGTGCCTAAAGTAAAACCCAATTATCGCGGCGCCGTGGATGACGCGCGCGCCAACGACAAATTTACGTCGCTTGCGTTCGCCCCCTCGTCGTCCTGCTCGTATAACGGAGTAACGACCCGACCAAAGCGCCGTGTCCGGCGAGCTTCGTTCGACGAGCGAGTCCGTCCGCGACTAACGTTTCGCTCGCCGAAACGTCGCGCGGTTTATTTATCTCAGATATAAATGCAAAGGTGAGTTAGTCGGCTAGGTGAGGAGTCCCTCTTTCACGCGAGCTTCCCCGCGCTCGCGAAGTGCTTATCGCGCGTAGCCGAGGGCGTCTAATATCTTTTTCCGGCGAACAAATAGTAAATTAATCATTCGAAACGCAGAGATACGATCTCGAATTGTCCGAATGGTAAAATAATATCGTGGTAAATGCTCGACTATGCAGGGCGCGTGTCTCGCGGATACAATGATATCGCTTGTACGTTTTGTTGTTAAATTAAACACGAAGTTATACCTGCGATAATTCCACGAGAGGGAGGGAGAAAGAGAGAGAGAGGTATATCTCGTTCGCCGGCATATCTGTCTGCTGCCACACATACACACGCGATCGTCGCAAATTCAAGAAGCGGATAATTCGCAAATTGGGGATGCGATGTTCGATCGAATTCGCGTAGGAACTCGCGGACGTTCGATTTCGCACGATACAACTCCGCTTGGCAACCGTCGACGGAGGCTTGATTTAACAAACGAGCCGAAGGTAACGCCGAGTTTCTTCTCGTGCCCAGACAAATTCACCGGAAAAATAATAGTAATAGAGATTCAGTACAATGGTCCATTAGATCCGGCCGCTTGGCCGGGTCGGCGTTTATTTAACGCTTTAAACACAAAGCTGCGGCTCGCACCGGTCCTATTGTGCGAGCTCCGGGCAATTAAGCGAACGATTGGCTAACGAACGTCGATCGCCGTCGTGCGACTCGTGTAACGTAATGATTGCCGCCGCGCGCGCTGATTTGCTCGCTGTTACAGATTCAATTACGGGTGTGCTCGCGCGCTCTGATATTTCGCGCGGCCGAACGTTCCGAGATCAACGGCGGAAATTAAATTAAACCTAACGCCGCCGTGCGCAACGTCCGAGCATAAATAACGGCGAAAGTGACACCGGTAACGAGTATAACCCGACACTCTCGCGTTGTTTCAAGCGTCGTTCGGCCGCTCGCTTTGCGATAAGCGATGATCTGCCGGCGACGCGCCGCTAGTCCGCTAAACGAAGTTTGGGGACTTTTACGCGATTCGCGCAAAAGTAATCGATTTTCGGAAAACTGTTTCTCGAAGCGACTAATGAATCCAATCACCGGATCGTAACCGGATAACGCAGCGCACTTCGAAAAAATCGCGATACCCGCCTCCGATTTCCAAGATTTCCGACTTTTCCTCCGGGCGCGCAAATTTTCTCATCACACTCAGCCGTCACTAGAAAGTTTACAAGAAAGTACCCTGAAAGAATACGAATTGTGAGCTTAGGCAATCGTGCGTTTTCCCGGGTATACATTTTCTCACGCCTAATTCGCCCGGAGTGGTATTGAAGAGACGCGAAAAAAGTGGCTAACTCGTGGCGAGTATTTGATTTTCACGCGTGCGCGCGAGTTTTCTCACGTTTAATCGGCCGAGTGACGTGGAACGCCCAAGGCGCGAAATCGGCGGGCCAAGGTGGGGCCCGGCCGAATATACGCGACTCGGTTAGTAGCGACTCGAGTTTGAGCGGCTCAACTTCAAAGGGACGCTGAAAAATTCGTACGGCCGACCCCGTGCGAAGAGAACACCGGCGTATGCCTTCGCGATTTCTTCCCATTCTTGCGAATTATCCCCTTCTCTCTTTGTTTCTCCGTCCCGCCGCTCACCCTCCTTCTTCTTCTTCTCCTCCTTCTCGTCCTTTTCTCACTCCTTCACATACTCACGTTCACGAGAGGTCGAACGGAGTAATGCGCATTTGCATACGCGCCCGTTTCCCCCGCCGTTCCGTTTTGTCCTCGTCATTGCGCTTTATGACGCGTGTCGTCCAGGGCATGCAGTCATTTATCGCCGGAGCTTCGTACGATGTTCGCCACCTCAGCATATCGGAGCTTGGCGTGATAGATTCGGCACCAACGTGTTCCGACGCCGATACTTGTTGAGCACTCGATGACCTGAAATCAGAGACTCCAGTGGCATCTCGAGGCATCGCAAACGGATAAGAAGATCGCGTTTCTCGGTTAAATTCAGGCAGAATCGGCTCTAACAGAATTTCAACTCGAGGTTTGTACGATGTGATTGTAATTAAAAAGGAGATTAGGATCCGAAATTGGCAGTGTCAGGCCGTAGCAATTGTCAGTTGTAGCGATAGAAATGACAAATATATAAATCTTCCCTCTCTCATCTCGCACCTGTTTCTAAAATCTGTACAGTTCCGAAAGCGTTCGCTGATCACGCGTGCACGTTTCCGAGAGCAACTCTCGAGACGCACTGAACGTTGTTGCAGCGAAACCGCGATACGGTAGTAACGGTATCGATTATCGAGGGAGATCGATTGCGGGAAACGAATACACGCTGTTCTCCGGGGAAATCACTGAGACAGCGAGGACATTTTGGTCTATCGACATGTGATCTCACCTTGGCGAGGCCACTTTGGCTAAAAAGGTCGTCGGAATTTCGCGAGGCGATTCGCCGTTCGCGGCTACCTCCAGTCAGATACGTTCCTGTCGGCGACGGTCGCGCTATTGGCCGTCCAGCGGGCGTGGGAGCTCTGCGGGGGTTCGTGACGTCGTACGGTTAGTACAACCGTGCTGGGGGTGGACCGAGGCGTGTGAGACGGCTAGTATCCGGCGACAGGGCGAGAAGGGGGTAGGAGCGTGATAGCCGGTCGGCGCAAGTGCGAGTTCTGCGGCGGGGCAGCGGGGCTGTACGAGGGGGAAACATTGGAGGTTATCATAGGGGGGGAGAGGGGCGTATCGCGGCCTGGCGGAGCCCAGTCGAGTCCCGTGAGTCCGGGCAAGCACTGCTCGAGTAGGTGGCATCGTGGTGGTGGTGGTGGTGGTGGTGTTAGGCGTCGTCCGGGACTGAGGAGAGATTCCTCCAAGAACCGCCATCGAGTACCGCCGCCGCCGCCGTTGTCGTGTTTGGTCGTCGCACCGCCGTCGACGAGGCGTTGCATCGTCGCGCGCTCGGTAAAAGCCTAGCCCTGAAGAAAGGAATAAACAGCCTCCCTCGTCTCTCTCGCGCTGCATGTCGAGAGAGTAAAACGGGTGAGCGGGGGAAAGAGAGAGAGAGAGAGTGTGTGGATATAGAAGAAATTAATGTAAGAGAGGGAGAGAGTATGAAAGAGTGAGAGAGAATATAAGTGAGAGAAAAAGAGAGAGAACGTGTGAATGCGGGAGAGATAGACAGTGAGAGAGAAAAATACAGAAGGTGAGAAAAAGATAACGCTATCGCGAATTACGAAAAAGGGAGGGTAAAGCGTGGGTTCCGACGCGTTTCCAGAAGCGAGACAAAATACTCATCCCGACCGCTGTTATCAGTCGCCGGTTGTTATCGAAGCGAAAAGGGAGAGGACGCGCCTACCGTCGTGCGGCGCGCGAAGTACGCGTCAAGCTGAGCCTCGCCGAGTCAAGCCTTGCCGACGAGGTGGAGGAGGAGGAGGTAGTAGAAGAGGGAAGAGGCGGCGGCGGCGGCAAGAGCTGTCACTTCGATCGCCATTTTAGCGCCGAGGAACGGCCGCGCGTCGTGTAGGATACACGGTTGAGTCGATGCGTGCGTGTCGGCGACGCGACGCGATAAATGCTGTCGCCGTCGTCGCCGATGCGTCTCTTGGCTTGTGCCGCTCTCTCCTCGCCGCCGAGCACTCGCGAGTGCATTCGCAGTTCTTCTCCCTCTTCCCTTCCATTAACAGCAGGCAGAAAGAGAGAGAAAGGAAGAGAGCGCATGTGTGTGTAAGAGATGGATAGACAGAGTGAGAGAGCGCAGCTAGTATGTTTCTCGTTACGAGATACTCACATTATGTTTCCTTTCTTAGATGTCGTTAACGCATTTTTATCGAGAGGAGGGGTTCGATCGACGGGTCCGTCTATTCCACAAGTATATCTCCCTCTCGGGACGTAGTTAAGTCGACGATTTAAAGTATTCCACTAACATGCGCGACATCTCGTTAATATTTGCGTCGTTAGCACAACTGCACTTTAAGCGCCCCGAAGCACTTGTAGCGTCGTGCGAGCTGCACTCTCCCGACGGGTGATTTTTGTTTTTAAACCGGAAAAGATAACTCGCTAATTCCTAATTTTATCGAAGTTGCATTTTGCGGAGAGCGACGTTGCGTGCCTCGACACGCAAAGCTTTCTGGGTCGTTGCGTGCTGCACGCCGCGATAGCGAACGATCTCAAAGTGCAGTTGTAAATCCGAATAATCGCGAATCATTAGTGGCGCCGCGATTTAACGTAGTCCCTAACCTGCAACGCAGCGTCGCGTACGTGAATCCGCATTCGAATACGCGCATCTCGCGACGATAATTAGGTGTTCCCAAACCGCTCGATAATCGTGTGCCCGGCTAATCGCGAATTGGCTGTGCAGTTGCGTGTCTTGTCGCGTATCTCGTCGTGTTATCACGCACATTAAAGCACCACGGGACGATCTCAGTTGTACGTTGCTCGTAACGGTTTTGCAAAATGGTGTCGATAATCGGATGTAAATGGCGATGCGATTTCCAAAGTCTCGTTAAAACGCGCCTCTCTCGTTCTCGTGCGTGAGTGAACGAACGGGCGACATTCGCGGTGTCGAACGGACGCGCGTGGGTGACACGAAGTCGCGCGACGGAGGAGTGTTGAGTGAAAGAGAAGAACAGGAGGAACGAGTATGTGGAAAGGACGCCGTCCAGACGTGCGCGAGAGGCGGTATGTGAGAAAGAAGGTAGGCAGACAGGAAAAGAGAGTAAACGATCGAACAACGAGAGAACGAAAGAGAGCAGCAAGACGCAGTGTGCGTGTATGCGTGTACGTGTGGGAGAAAGGAAAGAAAGCGAACGAATGGGCGAGAGAAAAAGAACGAATCAGCGGGCGAGAAAGAGAGGAGTGAATGAACTGGTGCGAAAACGAGAGAGAAAGCAACCGAGCGAATGAGTCAGGGTAGGAAAGAAGGGGAGAAAGGCAGAGAAAGAAAGAGAGAGAGAGAGGGGGGAGGCAGGCAGGCGAGAGAGTGAGTACGAAAGAAACTCGGCGCCATACTGGCTCCCCGCGGTTCCGCGACACGCACGCCGGCCGGCCGGCTAGCGATGTAGTTTGCGATTTCCGAAGGTCCGCCGATCGAGCGTTTCCCCCCCGGAAAATAGCACGGGAAAACGCGCTCTGATCGATCGCACCCGTACGCTTTTCTTTTAGATGCCGAAGCGGCGACACCTGTCCTCACGCCGAAAAGCCGTTTCGCGCCGCAACGTCTCTGTCACGCAGCCGACCGCGGACTATCCGGAGAACAGAGACGACCGTTCTTCTTCTCTCATCGACGAGATTCCCGCGAACCGCCCCCTGCGGCGCGCGTAAGGGCGAGCGGAAGAAGCGACGAGCGCAATACACAGCCGAGAGCGGAATCGGAATTAATCCGAAGGGACACGTGCGCGATGATTCTGCGCGGCTGAAGGTCAGTAAAAGTGAGCGGACGAGAGGCGGCTAGACGTAACGAACTGGTAAACAGAGTGAGACACGCACGGACACGCACGGACGTGTAAGCGCATACCACGTCATAAGGAGCGCGTCTCGCGGAGCAACGCCGGCGATAACAACGCGCTCTCTGCAAGATTCTCCTTCGCGGAGCGGAACACGACCGGAGCCGACTTGTGATGTCGGACCTCGCGGCACCGCCAGGCTCGTGGTGATCAAGTGCTTCGCAGCAGAGTGCGTCTAATACGCGAGGTCGAGTACGCGCCGCGGTCACGAGTGCGCGGCGATCGGGGAGTCACGAGGCAACCCGGTATATAACGATATAATAGCGAGCCCTGTGGCGGCCCTGTGTGAGTGTGTGTACTCGGAGCACGAGGAACGTCGTCGAGAACGTCGGGGGGTCCCGAGTGACGTCGGGGGGGCGCGTGCAGGACTGACTTTGCCCCCCCACCCCACCCCTGTACTCCAGCATCTGGAAGGATCAGCGCGGTGAAGAGAGGATCGCTCCGTCGGTTTTGCAACGTTGCGGTTTAGGTGAGTCTCGAAGAGATCTTTTCGAGTTTTTTCTTTTTGCATATACAACGAGGGTAGAACAAGTATTTGCACGTTCCACTTTTTGAGAGGATAATATCGCACTGAGGAGAGAACCGTTGCTGTAGCACGCTCTTATTCGATATATCAAGATACAAAACTGAAGATTATGCATAATTCAATAGAAACTTCGCAGCGATAAATTTCACCCGAAAATGGATGAGATGTGCAAGTACCTTTTTTATCCGCTGTAGGTGTCCGCAATATAAAAATCTGAAACCAACTCAATAATTGTATGATACGATTTATGTGGCTCATAAAATATCCTATGAATAGGAACATCCACATTTCTAGACTTTGTCGTCGTGAGCGTTTCACTCGCACGGTAAATGTGAATTTATCATTGTAATATATGCAAACTGTGTCGGATTCCTCTTCCTGTCTTCACGCGAACAAAGTGTTTTGCAGTCTTTGGGGTTAACTCTACCGTGCTCATAGGGTGATATGGTCTTCCTACTTGTCGTGAACTACGTTTGACGCGTATATTATTTATCATGTTTATGCACATGTAAATTTCGCGAATTTACTTTAGCTTTTAGTTTTCGAAAAATTACGCGATTTTCTTATCGTATATTATCGAACCAACTTCCGAAATAACTACATAAATTCATATATTTATGTCTCCCGATATCCGAGCATGAGATGTTAATTTTCATTAATATTCAATAATAAATTCTGCTAAATTACAAGTAACGCTATCGATATAATATTTTAAATGATTATTGTAATGATATATTCACGCAAGCAAATTTTCTCGACAAACATAGGCATTCTGAAGTTTTAATAGATAAATCACAAGAGATTAGAAGGTGTCACTTAAACGGGGGGAATTAACATCCTAATTGACTAATATCTTATTCAAACTGATATCCGCTAATGTCCTACTAATACCTTCCTCTTGTACATCTAAATTCCTACTTAACATTTCATCCCTCGGTTATTCGCAACGGTATTTACTCTGATTGCTCCTGAGCAATCAGTCGCAAAATAAACGTATTGCAAAGAAGCAATATTTTTACGAAGGAGTTGATATGCGGATTCTCCGGCGCGCTCTCGTTGCAAAATTATCAGAAACTATCTCAAGCGATAACAAATGAGACGGCAGGTTTCTATGAAAAAGCTGGCTGCACGTTATCCCGCGTATAACGTCGCGTTATCGCGACTTTATCGGAACTTAGGTGTGCACGTCGCCTCGAGTGCTCGGACACGTAATCCGCCACGAGTGCACGTGCGACTTAACGTCACCGTGCGTTTCGCGCCGTGCGAGCGGTGACGTCGGTACCTGTAGTGGAGCGCGTAAAAATGTCTAATTTACAAAAAAGTATAACATTACGCGGCGTATACGACGTTACTCCGATTTAGCGCCCCGATGATAATATTACGGCTTAACGAAATGCCGCGGCAAGTAATTTACTATAATTCACTCCAGTATCCAGTTCGCGATACGTCGTAAGCATAGGCGTTTGCGGGTTTATATTGCGTAGTCGCGGTGTGAACGTAAAATTATTCGCTTCTAAAGTAACACGACACGCTTTTTACTCGTTTAAAATGTGCGCTCGATCGGTCGACGATCGACGATGCTGTGAGCATTTTAATACGTGTATTAATAACGTTCAAAAAGCAGTATTTAACGAAAAACAGAAAATATCTATAAAAAAAAATATATATATATATAATTTTTATATGGAACTTGGCAAATGAATTGCAGGAAATTACGAACTATATAATAGAGATTGCACTTGACAGAAAAAGAACATTCCTTTGATCTCTTTTACAGTTAAATTCCCTCGGTTTTTTTTTACCCAATTTTATCTGTATTTTTAGCATCAAATATTCAGGCAGTAATTGTTACAAGAAATTTATATCGAAACAAACGCAAGATCTTTGCGACAGTATTTTATGTGTGGCGCATAAAATGGGTGTTATTTAGGCAATGGGAACCCGTGAATTGAACGAAATGAGTAATCAGCAACGAGAAACGGCCCTTTTTTTTAGTTGCTGTTTAGCACGGAGCCCGATTAAAATAACGGTTAAAATAATTATCGGTGCTAAATGGTACTTGGCATTGGCGATAATTAGTCGATTCTTTTACGAAACTGGAATAAACTTTTCTCCGGACCTCGCATTCTCGACGGCGCCGCAACGACTTCAGAACGTGTGCTCGGACTTCGAGGCGCGCGCGTGTTCTAATGAACTTCATTCAGATTGCTCGCTCGATTCTTTTTCGTCTCGTCACGCGATCGATCGATCGATCGGCTTCCTCGCTCGTTCGACATTCGATAACCACCGGCAGCAGCACACGCTGCTCGCGGATCGTTCGGTCGGCGTCTTCGAAGCACCGGGAGGGCCTTGACTACTCCGCGATAATGAAATATCGCGTTATCGGCACATTTTCATCGTCGAGCTCTTCAACAAGCTCTTCCTCTCGTTTCCTGCCGGCCGTAACCGTGATCCGATTCTGCGGTAGGTGTACATTTCAAGAGAATCCAACGAAAATGGACTCTCTTGAGAAATCGCTCAAATATCAACCGTCTTTTCGAGTGCCAAAATCTACATGCTGGATGTGTCAGAGCGGACGGACGAATCCTCTGCAGTATAGCGATATGCTGTGTGGAGCTTTGGGACAATGATTTTTCTTCTTGTTGAAATAGTGATTCCGATAAATTGAAAGCTTGAAAGCCGAGGGAAAATTGATTGAAAGTTAATTGAGATATCAGTAGATAGAAGCGGTAGCTCGATAGATGCCATTTTTGCGCGGGTTTTTTGTTACGGATGTCAATGTTGTTTTCGCAGTTTTTTTTTTACGAATCTTCGCGTTCTCGAGTTAAGCTAGTTGGCGACAATGCGATAAATCGGTGTGAAGTTGGAAATTCCAAAATTATCTGGTTTACCGCTCTTTTTTCTTAGGAAATGTATAAAAACGGAGCTGCCTCCTCCTTTTTTGCCACCGTGTCTTCGTTCGTTTCGGCGCTCCGGCTGAAGTTAATCGACGCTGCAAAAGAGTTCACCCAACCGGCGACTTTAAAATACGGCTGGCTTTCGTGGCTCTGACCATTAGCAGGCGGCGCGGTTAACCTCAAAAAGTCTACGAGGTCGGCCTTCCGTCGGCCTTCCGCGGGCAATTTTACTCCGGTATATGAAGAAGGGTGGCCGAAGAAGGAGGTCGACCGTTCGTTCTTTTTCCACGTACCCTTTCCGGACCCTGGCCGAAAAGGAACGATCTCGCGCGTCGTTATCAGAAGCGCGGGTAATGACCGCCTTACGATAGTTTTCTCTGTCTCATCACGAAAGTTGCTGCATAAAGACAACGCGATTCTTAAGTAAGACTGTTTCGTAGTATCGAAAAATACATAGTTTTAAATGTCCAAAAGACTCGGTATTTTAAGAACTTTGGCACGTAATCGAATCGACATTTTAATTTCACGTTCACCTTGCAAATTACGTCAAACTTCAAGTATCCATTTCGAAGTATAACATTACATAGGCTACACTGTCTTTTAAGAAGATTATGAGGCATCGCTAAGGTTGCTCATATTTTCAGTGGCGTATCAAGGAGGCTATTTCATAAATTTAGTATTTGTCAAGTAAAATAGCGTTTTTAAACATTAATTTCACTATCTAAATAATAAATGAATTAATTTGAAGTTGAGGTAAATATTATATATGCCAGATCTTAAGCGCGAAATCAAACAACATAATTGTCGGCCGAAAGGTTTGAACGTAAAATTTATTGTTAACAATATATAAGATTCAATTTATGTTAATATGAATGTTCTATTTATTCTCTTTTATCATATGGCACTATGAAGCTTGTTCTTGTTCATTTCAATGTATAGTATAATTTCATGAAATTCTTATTAAACTCATTTCACCTTACAACCTTCTTAATACCGCACATGGTGTCGTTTTGTTGAGGCATAATGAAATATTTATTATTTAAGAAATTTTGATAAAATTTGGAGATTTAAAAAATAGAAAAAAAAGGAATTGTAAACCTCTTTTCATCATTAATTACATTCTGCGTCCTGGATTCCGTCCTGGAATCGACTTCTGCTTGCATTGTGATCAGGCACTCAATAGTAACACATGAAAAAATACAAGACGATCGGAAATGTTAATTAACGATTGTACGTTAATCAACGAAGATCGATGCTATATATCATATGTTTCGATACGTACTGTGCATGCAACCTATTAATTTAATAATTTGATAGTTTGACTATTTAACTATCTCGAAGGTTCGAAATATTTTTCGAGTATTAATTGTGATTTTTCGATCACCGAACAGTACGTTTAGTTTATCGGGCGTTATTATTTAGTGGATGACGACGGTTAGCGGTCAGTGAGAGGTGACTTTGTCAAGGTGCCGATTGTTTTGATAGTTCGCGCGCCGTATATTTGTCTATAACCGAATCATTACGTCTCGAGCCGACACACACACCGCGATACGAAATACATATATCGGTGCGTTGTTTACATTTTACGTTAAGCGGTTAGAATATTTAGTCGGCTATTAAAATATTCAATCGGATTTTCGTCGGCATCGCGTTAATTAATACACGCTTTTCCGATCGGATCGTATCTACGCAAGTGTCAGTACCAGTGTGCCTGGAACCACGAAACAGTCAGGAACAGGATGCTGGTTCGGTAAACCAGGACGCAGGATGCGAGCAACGGTATATTATTTAATTCCAGGTATGTGAAATTAGTTATTACACACCGAATGTTTTCGATTTTAACGGACGCGTTCGACGAGAATATTTCTTAAACATATTTTCTTCATATAATATATTTGCTATATTTATTATTTTTGTTACATACATTCTGGGTGACAGCGAATCTAGCAAATCTGCTTGTCTCGGCCAAACGGCCGAATGAATCCCTTTTGAAATACGATCCGGTATAATCCGATAGCGCGAGAAAAAATGTGGGCAAGATCATTC